TTGTCGTAGCTGCTTCCTGCGAAGACCACCTCATCCCGCGGTTCGAGAGTGAAGAGGTCAAGACAGGCATGTAAGAGAGCCCCGGCGACGACTGTGTCGGGACCACGATGTTCGCGTTTCGCTAACGCGCTGAGATGCCGAATCCCCACCTTCCAAAAACGGGTGACGCTGTGAATAACCGTCGTCCGCACACCTTGAAATACTGCGTCGTTTCGTTCACTCCATAAGTGAGTTAAACAGACGCTACACATAATAAACCATATGCGATTCCAAACCATGACCCCTGCTTCCAAGTCGTCTTGTAAATGTTCATGTAGGCGTTGTCGCTGCCTTGCCGGTAATGCAGGAGCCTGACGATTCACACTGCCAAAATATCAGGTCTCATCAACAGACCTCACATCTCGGAGACCCGTCCAGTGACAGATAAGTCGCCTCCAGCAGGCGCGCGCCTTTGGACATCCCCAAAAGATGTGAGCCGACTTTTCTTTACGCCCCCAACACTCCATCAGCGCTCGACAGCTGTTGTCAGCGCGACGACCATCATGGTAGAGGTTAAGTTGATTAGTGGTGATTCTGTAGCAAGTCCAGACTTGAAAATCCGAAAGGCCATTAGTATGGTTCCAAACTTGAGACGGACGTTGATGAGCTGCTGCACGCAACCAGCCATCCTTGCTGATGACTTGTTTCAACCGTTGGATTAGCCCGTTCAAAGGGACAGCAAGCAGTCGTTTGTGAAGTCTGAACGCTAGCCGGGCAATTGTCGCCCTAATCGAAACGTTCGCCACCGTGTTGGCCACAGCCCAGGGAAATCGATGATGATCAGGATGTGAATAAAACACGACACCATGTAACCGCAGTCGGCTCATCCAAATGTACCTCTCAGCGACAGTTTTAGTAACCAACTCAGGTAATGATGTGGTAAAAAACCATCTAAATCCGTCGGCACTTTGCCGCAATTTGACGTGGTCACACCCGTGATCCGCAGACACCCGTCTATTCCCGACGACGTAACCATGTCGCACCGTCGAAAAGTCAAAATGATACCGAAACGGAGGCGCATGACGAAGTGCTAACTTCGGTTCCAGCGCTAGTTCCGACCCAATTCGAATAGGAGGCGAAGCGAGCAAAATAGATGTAGCCCAGCGCCTTAACTTCGGCTGATAGTGATGCTTAGAGGCAGGTCCAGCCAGTGAGATACTGAAGGTAAACTCTTTCGGTCCGGTTCTGCGAATGCGCAAGTCCGAGATGGAGCAGTCAGCTATCCGGTCGTATTTGGAGCGTACAAGCTGCCGACCCTGCCCGTCGCAAAACCACGAATTGTTACTCCATCTGAACGTTCCCCAAGAGCGGTGCAGTGCCATTACTTGGACGTCGTTGGATGCTAATGCTTCCGGAAAAGGGTGATGGTAAGATAATACCCATTCATCTTCCTCCCACTAGCTACTGGCTCCTTCGAGCAAAGTCGAATAGTGCATGCGGACTCGATCTCGAATAAAATTCAATTGCTCCGTCGTGGGTTGCAAAAGCTTGTCCATGTCTTGTATCCATGCAGGTTTCGACGGCTTCGAAGTGCAAGAAGATGTTATCCCTGGTATACCCCTTCCATACAGGACCAGGGATGAGGAAGTTGGCCTACCTTGATAAGCCCAGTGACACCAAGAGGCAAAATACTTGTCCTGGGCTTGCGTTAGCCACCGCAGTGCATGTTTCGTGTGCTGAGTTTTGATTGCGACCTCGAATGAAGCCAGCCCTACTCCGCCTGCGTGTTTCGGAGTGAATAGCAGTCCTGGGTTGATCTTGTGTCTGCTAGCTTCTGTCGAAGTGGCATGAGCCCACAAAAACTGTTTGTACAAATTTTGGATTGCCTGCCTCGCCCATTCTGGGATGTCGAATACCGCTGCCGTGAATAAAATGGATGGAAGAATGATGGAGTATAGAATCAACACTCTATTCTCCACACTAGTCGCGACCCTGGAAGCTGTGATTAGCCGCCGTTGAAGCCTTCGAATCCTTAAAGCCCAATTGCGGTTATGTAAGGCACCAAGACCAACCTCATAGCCCAGGTACCGTACTGTTTCTGTCTGGTGTAGCACCGAAATGCCAACCATTTCTCGCATCTGCACCCCTGTGTTCAAGAGTATGATTTTGCTCTTTGACGGCTGGGCTTCCAGCCCAGATAAGGCTCCAAAGCGTGATACGAGGGCAAGAGCCGGTGCCAGCTGATTCGCTTGCTCGAGAAATATCGTGGAGTCGTCGACAAACGCTGAGAAGCGGTGCGTTTGAGTACGGCTACCTGGGACCGGGAGTCCTATTAAGGTGGGAGACTGCTGAACTGCAATTCCCAACAACTCGACCACCACGAGGAATAGCAAAGGGGCCAGAGGGCAGCCTTGCCGAATTCCTGACACGACGGATATTGGACTGGACCGTTCCCCATTTACGAGGAATGTAGCCGTTGTCCCTTCATGCAGCCGAGTAATTAGCTGAATATATCGTTCCTCAAATCCAAATTGTCGAAGCGCCTCGTAAAGAAAGCTTCTGTCCACAGTATCATATGCCTTTCGAAAATCAAGTAGAAGGATGACCTGCTATTCATCGCGTCGAGAGTTGCATCAGAAGAAGCCGTTGCCAGTTGGGAGAGCATCATCAGGACAGACTTCAACATCTGCCTGCCATGGACGAACCCTTGTTGTGAGTCACCAATGACTTTAGGTAGTACAACTTGTAACCTAGTCGCCAGCACCTTCGCGAAGATTTTGTAACTGGTCTGAAGTAGCGAAATAGGCCTGTAATCCATAGCATCAGCTGAGTCACCTTTCTTCCGCAAAGGTATGATCAGCGCTTCCAGAAAAGAAGGTGGAGGATCTGAGCCCGCCAATATTTGATTACTGATTCGCACCAGGGCTGGAACCAAAAGCGCCGGCGTATCCTTGTAAAAGTCGTTGTTTAAACCATCAGATCCAGCCGATTTATGTCGACATAAACCCGTGATGGCTGTAATAACCTCATCTTCAGTGAAATCGGTCATTAAAGACCGATTCTCGCTCGAAGAAAGTACCCGTTGGGTAGGAACTTGAACAAAATGACGAATGGTGGCTGGTAAGGCTTCCAAAGGGGTACTGCGATGTACCACGCCTAAAACAGTGGACCACTCTGAGGCAAATTTATCTGCCGTCGACATGGTGCGACTAAAAACCGGTCCATGAAGCTGCTTAATACCGGTGACGGTTTGCTCGCGCTCCCAGTCGGCTATTTTGCGATAAAAAAACCGTAACCGATCTGTTGTCCTGACCAGCTGTTGACCGAGTCGCACAATATGTTCCTGACGCAATTCTTCCATCTTACAGGATATCCATTGTGGCCTGGTAAGCAAGTGCTGCTGTGCCCGTCTCTGAATGTTATGGCGACATCGAGCCCTGCGCTGCTTCACCCTCTTACTGACACGCCGAATACGGCGTACACACTCAGCAACGTCTAGATCCCAAGTCCTGGTAGATAAAGCTTGACCAACAGCCATGCCATCCATTTCCTCGACAAGTTCTGCTATAATGTTATCGGGGTCGATGCTGTGATGGGATACACCACCCTATCACGTCGAATATGAGGGCGACGCCTGGTTGGTTTTCGCAGGTGTAGAACTACCTCCTGATGGTCCGACAAATTTGAAGGTAAGCGCGTCTCAACCCACAGGACGCGGTCCACCCAGCCTTCCGGTAAATAAAATCTGTCAATACGACTAGCCCTATCCCCTTCCCAGTATGTGAAATGGTCCACAAAAGTATCAATTGAGTCGTCGTCTGCGTGTTCGCGAAGCCATCTTGCATCAGCCAATCCTATCGTAGACACAACGTGTTCCAGGGCCGGGCTTTCTGACCGGTTGGAGCGATGCTTCCCAAATCGATCCAGAAGGGGACTCTGGACGCAATTAAAGTCGCCGACGATCATCGTATTTGAGGGGTCTAGATTTAAGGTCAGCAGGGAGGTAAAAAAAGCCTCTCGCTCGGACCGCAAAGTAGGAGCGTACACATTCACAAGGACTTCCCCCCCCCATAGATACCGCGATCGCGCGTGTGGTCCAGAAATCCGGTAACCAGGCCGTCGTATGTGTTGCAATTTGTGGAGTGAGTAGAATAGCAACTCCTGCCCGTTTTGACGAGCCAATACTCCAGTACGATAGGACAGGGGAAGTCGGGTTACGATGCTGACCCCATAGTCGAGCCCACTGATATCGCAGCCGAGTTCCCTCTGCTTCTGTGTGCACATGTGTGTCCTGGATGCACCAAGCCCCTGTTCTGTGTCGATTCGTCTTAGCCCACCAACCCGACATCCAACTGTCGCGCACGCTGTCCTTGAATCCTCGTACATTTTGAGATATGTAAAGCATGTCACCCATCCAGCCTTGGAGCCGAGATGTAACTGGCTCAAAAGAATTGGTCCATTCCTTAAGCAAGAGATGGCGGCCATAGGCGTCCGATGCGTCGAGTGATGCACCACCGGGCCTGAAGACCTCGTTGCTCCGTAAGCTGCCCTTAGTACTCAAGTAGAAACTGCTGCTCTGCAGGAGCCAACGCAGTATTAAAGAAGCAAACCAGCTTGCGCCAATCCACCTTGGATCCCCCGTCAGCGTAATACACCTCCTTGTAGTGACTGTTGTTCCGAAGTAAGCGTAGGTGCCCTCGAAGTTGCTCGGGAGGCTCAAGTGGTTTTTCCCCATCCCCGGTCAGCGCAAAAATCTCAGCGTCGAACAATACCGCACATAGTAGGTGATAACTCAGGCGTATACGTCGGTGAGGGTCACAAAGACGCAAAATATCATCGGTAGCGTAGTCTACCTCCCTCAGCTTGACCCAATCGTCGGTATTGTCGATTAATGGGGCCAGCCGGGAGGAAGGTAATCGCTGCTGTGTTCGCACGATCCATTGATCTAGCCACAGTGTTTGTATAGAATCTTGCACTCGACGCCTGTACTCAAGTAGACCAGACAGCAAGCACGCCTGTCGTCACTGAGCCGTCCACATCCCGAGAACGTGATCCCCTAGGCTAGCCAGCAGTTCAACCGGGAAAACAAAGCGTCGCACGTGATGGAGCAGCAGCTCTGGCTCGACCTGGGCAGTTTTCAGCCACGCCTCAGGGTTACCATACACTAGTGGATATGGCGTAGAAGCCGTTACTGGCCATTCAACGCCCAGAGCCTGCCAGAGATCCGGCCAGTCGTCGGTATCCATTCGTTCTTCCATCCGAGTGATATAGGGTTGAGGAGAAGCAACGCTGATCCTGTCTTTTTTCTGTTTGGAGCTCTCAAGTCCACTCCAGTTCTCCCCTTCGCTGACCCCGATGGACTCCGACGTGCTGACGTGCCCACGTTTTCGAGCCGATAGCGAACTGCCCTGATTGGCCCCCCTGATCTGCGATGGAACAATAGCTAATTGCTGCAATGACGCTGTGGCAAGACCACAGTTCCTTGAAGAGTGGATGATTATCGAAGTGTTGTCATCCACAACCGACAGATGATCTCTGATAGGGGATCAAATATGGGAGCGCTTCTCTTCTAGGTGCACAGCTAAAGTATCCACAATTTGCGAGTCCTGACCTTGCTGCAGCGCTGAGCCTGTTCCGTCCGAGACGTCAGTTAGGCTGAGCCGATCTGCCGCCCTGGCAGTGTGCAGAAAAGCCGAATAATGCCGGCCCCAGAATCTAAGCACCAGTGGTGGAGCGCGAGGCGCCTCTATTTTTGCCGCTTGCAGCTCGTCTTTACACGCCAAGAGAGTGAGTGGAAATTATTTGGCAGTTTCCACTACTCGACCGTGTCTGTTGATCGTAGCAGAACAATACTTGCGACCACTCCAGTTACCCGTTCCGCGGCCACAGTTCAACACATAGATAGTGCGATGCAAAAAATTGGCTGCCATTCCAAGATTGTCACTTCCACCCCAGATATGCTCCTCAACCAGGGCTTCTCTGTTGGAAGGGGAGGCTGCATAGTCATGCAGAAACCACCGTAGTTGGGACGCAGACTCCCCCTGGTCATCGTCGTCCAACCTCTGCCAACGTTCTTTAAAGCATGAACCCGTACGTCACGAGCCATTTGATCCTCCAAATTTAGTAGTCCGGCGTTGGAGATTCCCCGTTTAATACTAGCCGTTAAAATCTCAAGGTCCTTGGTAGGGTTGTCCAAAGCAGATTCTGCGAGAGCTTGAGCTATGGCTATCGCCAAACAATTGCCCGTGGCCGGTGTGGCGACTTCACGGAGCCCCAAAATCTGTACCGATTCTGTCACATGCATGGGTTCAGCATGAGGCATTGGTTCCATGGGGATCGCGTGACTTGTCCCTAGTGACAACTGTTTAATTAGCCGCTCACATGTTGAACGCTCCCGGCGTTTATTGGCCAAAAGCGTTGGGCCCGCAACAACAGACACCTGTCCTCTCCTGGCGGCTGCTGTTTGTCGTGCTAGATCCTCAGGTGTCAACGTGGGTGGTCCCTTCTTGGGAGACGCATCCCGATCCGTCATCTTACTTGATGCTTGCCTTGGCAGATCATGGGTATCGCTATTAACAGAATTCGAGGACGTTTCGGTCTCATCCAGCTCGTCCTCTTGGAGCGCGTGATAACTACCGCTGCTAACCTTGAGATCGCCTTTCGAGGCCTGCAGGGGTGACCATATCCTCCTCCCTCCCCGTACAGGCCGGGTCATCCATGGTTGCGCTGGTCGGCATTTTGGGGCCGGTGGTGGTGGCCCCTCGTGCGTGCCTGGTGGAGTATATACCGGTTGGAGAGGTATGCCAGTTCTAGGGGGTTCTGCCACTGGCGACGGAATGGGGGCAACTGTCAATGCCATCGGCGTCACTGCAGCCTGCGCTGCCGCATCCTCCGATTGTTGGACTTGTAGACGTCTCAGTGCCATCTGCCTCATTTCGTCTGGACTGCTAAAAGGCTTAGCGAGGTCTTCAACAACTTGAAGATCTGCTTCTATAACTTCTACGCCACCCGGCCCGCGTGATTGCGCATCGGTGAATTGACATCTGCCCGCCGGGTGTCCCAAAGTTCCACACTGCAGACATTGGAGGCGACGGCCCACATCTGGATGCCTGATGATAATTGGTGTTCCAAACCAAAGTAATCGTACTATACCCTGAAGGAATTTCGGGCAGCCCGCTAGATGAAAGGTTACCTTCCACGCTGTTGATGTTCTTGAATTTGGTGCGCATGTGTCCATGTCCTCCAGCTCAAATTCTGTTTGAATCTCCGAGCGCAAGTAAGCTGCTATGCGTCCAATGTCGTCGAATCTGGTAAGATTATAGAGGATAATCGTATAAGCGGATCGTGGGTACCCCGACCGACCATCTGGACCCCGCTGGTTCAGCCATACCGATCCCCTTACCGGCTGATGGGCGTTCTCCAGCGTATAAACTCGACCTTGAAAAGGCACTTGAACGTCCTGGAGCTTCTTTGCCTTGTCCCGCGAAAAAAAGAAAAGTGAATCGACCGGGTTGATCGATTGTAACTGATCGTTTTCGTTGATCCCAGCAGGCGATGGAGATCGGGCAAACTGACCCTCAACAGCTCGGCTGATTCCAGAATCTTCTCCGTGATGACCTTCGTTGTCTGACGACTTAGAGGAATGTCACGCCCACCGCTGATATGGAGAACTAATTGACCCTCCACCTGCGCCTGAACGGTACTGTACAGCCGAAGACGTTCCTTGCAGGCCAGAACCGATCGTAGAAAGTCTGGCATCCGGCGACAGACTATATGCCCTTCGGCAATACCCACAATAATGCGCCATTCGTCATCAGACCCCTCACGTAGCCGTTGGAAGCCCGTGTTGCCTAGCCGGGCCACACATATGGCCTTTAGTGTAATCGAGTCTTCCAACGAGAATTTGGCCGGGTCAAACATAAAATCTTCATAGGTTATGCTCCCTTTGTTCTCCCCGTCCATTTGGCGAGCCGTATTACCCGCCCGCACGACTTCTGCCCATTGATTGGGGACAGGAGTAGTGGCCCACTTTTGCTGACTGACCAATTTTCTTATGATCTCCTTGAATGCCCACTTCGTCAGGAGGAGTTCTTTGCTGATCTGATGAGCCAGTCGTTTCCTGTCGGCGAAACTTCCAGAAGCTGACACATAACAGCGTCGAAAAAGATCTAGCAAGCTATCCGCCTCAGGTCCCTTAAGCTTGGGAAACCTTGTGCGTCCGGCCGGTAACGCGTCGACGCTTACCGGTATCCGAGCATATTCCGCTGTAAATAGGTCCTGGATGGACAGACGCCAGACATCAACGTTGGTTGGGCCTGGTTAGGCTTTCATCGACTCAATTAGAGCCTCAAAAAGCTCCTTAGGAGGTACGTGCTCCACGGCCGGCGTGGATGAAGTCGTCTTTACCCCCTCAGGTAATCGGGGTTGTGATACCGCTGTCTGACGCGTCGACGCTCCGTCGCCGCCGCCAGGCGTTGACGAGTTTAAACCGTGATCGACCGAGGCTCCGACCGTGTCTGGCCCGCGGCTCGATACGGGAACCGCCTGCTGGTCGTCTGCCATGATGGTGTCAACTACGATATCTCCACCTGCCGTCTGGGTAACGAGTGGTCTTGTGACGCCAGGAGAGGCAGGGGAATCGTCCTGCCCGCCCTGAACCGCTACCATCCCGCGAGCCATTCCTGTGTGGCTCTGCCTATCGGGTAGCGCGTCGAATTGGGTGCTGTTCCCCTCCTCCCCATCGGGGGGGAGGCGCGGAGGTGGCTTGATGGCCGTCGTTCGAGTATCTGGCTGATGCCAGTACTGGTCCTGTTTATACTCCTCCTCCAAATAACGCTGATTGAAGAGTGCAATGTTCCCTCAAAGACGCGGGTAAGTACCTAAACAGAGCTTCGTCGTGTCTCTCATGAGCCGAAAGTACTGGCATATGGAGCAGTACAGACGTCACCACAGCGTAGACCATTTTATATTGTCAATCTGTTTGTCTCAGACGAAGAGAAATCTACTGCTCCATCTGGAATTACGGATGCATGTCTCGAATCCAAGCTGCTGGATGTCACACGTTGCAGCCCATCAATCGCGAGAGACCGGTCTCATAAGCATTACATGAGCAGCACCCTGGATACTGTAGAAGCGAGGCCGATATAATGTTCAACGAGTTGCCGATTCGCCCTATTGTCCCAGCCAAAGTTTCCCGCTTGTTTATTATCCTCACCGCGCAATCGGACACGTGTCGTTGGCACAATCTCTTCGCCGCCACATGATCGGCGGTGCAAGTGAGAGAGGTGCTGTTTGGGTACGCTGTGCCAATCATGTCAAGAACACCAACATGTGACAATACCTGCTTGAACGCACGCTCGAACATGTTTCTCGCGGAGATCAGACGTCTTCCCTGTCCTATGTTTACGGCCGATAGCGCCGCCAGCTGTTTAAGCGATAGTGCGTACATCCGTCATGACAACAAATGCAAATTCCGGATTTCCGGATGGTGTGTTAAAGATGTCGGCTCGTATCCCGCTGAACCCACGCGGTCATTCGAGCATACGTAAAGGAATGAAGAGCTTTCGTTGCTACAGTAACGTGCTCTTCATTCCTTTACGTATGCTCGTCTTTGCGTGCACCTCCTTGAAGATGGCGCTAGGCTGTGCATGCGAAAATGGGCACTACGCGGTTCTGTTAACTGATCGGCGATGAGCTGCTTGTCACAAGCAGGGACCAGATATTCGCGTCGACGATGGTACAAATGGACGGCACGTGCTTTGGCGCGCGATAACAAGACAACCATTTTCCAACTTCGATCGTCTCGACAACACCTTCGTAACGGACGATGAGGCTTCATCATGTGCTCAGCATCTTTGCGGCTGGGGTGATCGGCCAAACCTCGGCCGCTTCCAGCGTCACTTCGGATTCTTCGTTTCCAGGATGGAAACCTTGCCCGGCCTACACTTTTCCTGGCGAAGGTGAATACGAAGCCGAGTGCGTGACCTACGATGCCCCGTTGTGTTACCTCGGTATCTGCGAGACACCGGCGAATGTGAACTCGACGATCAAGGTTTTCGTCAAGCGGTTGCGTGCAAAGGGGGGCAACGTGGACGACGCACCAAATGTGTGGATGATTCCAGAGATTGAATGTAGTGAAGGTAAGTGAAGGCTCTGGTTGTCCTACTCAATAGTTTGAGTCTAATCGAGGACTCGCGTATGTTGTTGCAGTGGAACATTCGATGGTGACGCTACACAAAAGCCTCGAAAAAGTATTCAACGTGTACACGATGGATCTCCGCGGCAATGGACGCGGAACACTGCTTGATTGTGCATCAGGTCAAAGCACGACGAGCGTTTCGCAGTCGGAGAGCCCCGATTATTTGACGGACATTCCTGCGTGTGCTCAAATCCTGCAGGACCAGTATGGAGACCTCGCTTCGTTCTCGATCACAAGCGCTGCAACGGACATTTTTACCTTCATCCACAAGTATACGAACGGCGCGAGTACAATTGTGTACGGTGTGAGCGGCGGAACGATGCAGGTCCAGCGTCTGATGCAGTTGGATCCGCTGAGCGTGAACGGATACGTTTTGGACGGCGCCATGGCCTATGCGATATCGCCTGCCAAGAAGACTTATTGGTCAGATTACGACGCTGATTTTGCTAGCGTGGGCGATACGTTCATGAAGCTGTGCGCGCAAGACCGCGACTGCGCTTCTCACTTTAAAGCCACCAGCTTGTCTGCCACGCTTCACCATTTGCTCCAGAACTTCGACAGGAATCCCAACTCGACATGCGCCTCGTTGGTATCAAACTCATCAGAGTATGTGCCAGCCGTCGTCTTACAGACTACGCGGGTAGTCTCCTGTTGAATTCAAGCACGCGGTCCTTGATTCCGCCGTTGGTGCACAGACTCAATCGATGCGATTATAACGATATCAACGTCCTGACGGTATTCTTCGACACCGCCAATGTAACGGGGCACCCTGAAGCTTGTACTGGTGACAGTACAAGCTACTTATTCTGATAACAGAATAAGGCGGTGCCTCGTAACTTCACGTACACTCGTACGTGCAGAGGAAGACGGTAAGAAGAAGCGAGTACTTGGTTAACGTAAAAAGTAGAACTGTATTTATAATAGTTAATGTCTGCAATAAATCACTATTTATCTTCATCTAACTATGTCTAAATACAAATGTGTAAATCAGTTATCTGCTCACCACTCATTGCGTGCGTCTGTCGTGGCGCGTCTTCGTTGGTTGATATAATGGCCTATATCAACCAATTAGGAACTACTTGGAAGTGCTACAGAATATTGTCCTTATGACAATATTCTGAGAATATAACTCTTGCAGCTTTATTCTATTAACAATTTCTTATAAATTGTTATGTAACGATTCACCCCGTTACATCACCCCCTAAACCATCAGTCACTTTAGTGACTGATTGACTAAATGAATACTCGTCCCAAATCATTTGGGACGGGGTTTGCACTTGTTGGTCCGCGTCCACTTTCCAACATCTCATCGCATGGTAAACAAGCCCATGCGATGCGCGAGCAAGGCCGCCGAGAGCGCGTCTGCACGTCTCTGTGCGGACGCCGAAGCAGAAACTACAGCAACTGATATCCCATCGGTTGCTGAATCGACTCAGCCTGTATCACCTGGTGATGCAGGCGCTGGTCATGAAGACACTCGTGTCTTCACAGAGTACGAGCTCGGTGTCTCGTACTCTCCTGATACGGATGACGGATCCGTATCGACGGCAATTGAATCCAAGCCGCCTGCCAAGCGTGGCATGGACGATGCTTTGCGTCGCAGCATCTTTGGTTCATCTGATGAGTCAGATGAACCATCGCCGAAGCGAAGGCGCTCGAGGTCGCGAGACTCGGGCGCTAATAGTGGTGTCGTTTCTCCAATAGACACCACTTCACAGCGAGGTGCCAGTACTTCTGTCGGCACGTCGCAGGAAGAGCGGGACCGCAATGTGTTGCGTCTCGCTCCAGAAAAGAAGGCATGGATGCCTCCTAAATCTGTCATGGATCACTTGTCGGCGACGACGAGTGATCGTTATCGAACACGATTGTTCGATTCGTCGAGGATTCATCACCTTGACCCCAGCGCAAAAGACTATCGCGCTGAACATGAGTTCTTCATCGATGCTTTCTTCAGACATCGATGGTACAGTGGGAATCACAAACGTGATGGTCCCTCACTACTTCAGGCGTGGAACGCCTACATCCATAATCTCGAGGATGTAGGTCGTGACGCTTGGAACGACAAACTTATCAAAGCTCGTGATAAGTTTGAAAAGCGAACCCCGACAGGTGCACGCTATAAGCTGCATCGTCTGTCAAGGGAGAAAGGATTACCCTGCCTCTCTTGGGGAGACTCGTGCCCATGTTGTGTGAACAACTCTGCACGAGCACCTAAGGAGGCTTACCTCCTTAGCAGCCCGTGGTGGCGCGTACGTGTCTCTACTGAGATGTACGAAGGGATTGACAACCTGAAATCCCTTTACGACCGTGCCGGGAAGACTTTCTCCGGCGGTCCTTCTGCGGCACAGGATGTGTCGCGTCGTACTGCTCGACCAGACCCAGTACGTCAACCATCAATTGGGAGCGGGGCTCCCAAGAATCCCAGGACGGGGGATAGCCGCGCCACCGGACGAGGTAACTCGTCCGACGTCCGTTCACGTCGCGGTGGTTCAACAGCTGCTCTACTAGATAGCGCTGGCCACCGCGAGAGTCCTCTAATGGAGGTGGAGGAGGAGGAAAGACGCTCTCCACACGATCATGTGGATCGGTGTGTTCCCGAGAGCTTCTTTGATCGCGTAACGCAAGGGTTACGCGACGATCTCGAGCATGAGCGGAATAGGCGTCTCCAGATGGTGGACACTGCCTCGAAGCATCGAGCTGAGTTTGCCTTTGCTCAGCTTGAGAACGAGAGATCTCTGACATCTCTTCGTGACGAGCTAAGGGTAGCTCGTGGGATTGTTGATCGGTCTCGGGCTGAGATAACTGCTCTTCAGACCCTTGTTGATGCCCACCATCAGGGAGCACAAGGCTCTCTGCGAGATGCTTGAGCGCAAGGGCGTTCTTCATCGGAAGAAGCAGCGTACTGATGGTACGGCTTAAGCCGACCAACGTAAAACGTGGGATGCGTTCGCATCTTACGTGGTAACTCGATCGTGTATGCATTGCCTAGGCGGTGCAATACACGAAATGGGCCAATGTACTTGGGTAGTAGTTTACTGCTACCCAAGTTAGTCACTACATGTTTTGGTAGATTAACCGTAGACAGTAGGACTAAGTCACCTTTATTAAATAAAAGAGTGTTTGCCCTTCCATTCTTGTCAGCGTTTTGCTTTTGCTTATCCACCGCTTCGGCGATGGAGTCTTGCACAAAACGGACTACCGTTTCACGAGCCAGTATGAACTCATCTGATGACTCGTTAGCTTCAGTGTGCTGTGAGCGCACTGCAGCGACAACAACCTTTTCTTCAGTGAGGGCTTCCGCACTCTCACTGGGATCATTGTCTTCAGTGAGGGCTTCCGCACTCTCACTGGCATCATCTTCTTCGATATTGATGTTATCGATATCGGCATCAAACGCAATGACTTCTTCGTCAGAGCGTGATGAGCGTGAACCAAATCGGTTTTTGCTCGCGCGAGTCCCTCCCCCCCT